TTTCTCTGCCTCATTAATATGTAACCAAGTAAAAGTAAGGAGCTTAAACCATATGACAACAATTTTCCAAGAATTGAGCACGCTGCTTATGTTCTTCAATAAGGATTCATCAGAAATCTCTACACCTACAGATATAGATTTTATGGAGTTATTTGCATATGTTGATTCATAAGTTTGTGGTCTTGCTTCCTTTTTTGAATTTCTGCCCTTTCCGTTGAGTAATTTATAAATCGAGTTGTGCATAGTTTGTTTAAATTCGTATTTTGCTTATGATGAGAAGTGTTTTTTGTTCTACTGGATGAACTTGTTTGAATTTCATGGGTTCATTGAGCTATCAAGATAGGTTGCTCACAAATGAATAAATCAGAACAACTGGTATCTTTTGCTAACACTTATACCATTATTTCGTTATATCGCTGCATTGGAAAGTAAGAAATCCAGAGCAACAATCTTTGTGTTTACTGATTGACCTTGGTCGCTCATTTGGTTCAATGTTTGATGTTGCGTACCGAACAGCATTACAATTACGACAAGCCAGTTTGCTACTCTTCGCCCAGTTGCCTTGTTTCTTCTCATTTATTGGCTCTTCTGACGTTTATCAGTTCAAGAATCAAAAACGTCACTTTTCCCGATCTGCTCAGTCTCTCAATTACGTTCGCTTTGTAGAGTTCTCAGAAGAAGAAGCATTTACATCAATGCTCAGAGTATGTATATTTTTCTGGGCTACTGTTATTTGCGGGCTCACAGTGGTGAATTCCCTTGACTGCAGCACTGCTCCTACCGAAGCTCTGCGCATTGTTTGTCAACAGATAGCACGATGGGACGAAAGTTCAAGGGTAGAGTGTCCTCGATAATTTTCTGCAGTTTAGGGAATTCAAGCTTTGGTCCAAAATCACTAACTTTGCAGAAAACACCACCTCCTACATCTGTCAAACCTCCAGCTATAGCCGGAAAGGCTCAGCTTGCTGCAGAATTTGCTCCTATAGCAAGCAACATGTACCAATGCATGGACATGGCTTGCTTATGCGTATTCTTCAGAGGTATGTTGAGGTGTATACAGAATGCAAAAATGTATTGTCGTTTTTTTTGCTTAAAAATTTTATTTTTCAAATGCCTCTCTGTATTTCTAGGTATTTTTTTCCCGATCTACTTCTTTATTATCAAAATCTCATTGTAATTTCTTCTCCGATCGAATTATTTCTTTTTATTCATCCTCGAGATACTTAATTGCGTGAACATCAAACAGTATCCGATCCAAGTTGCCTGAGTAATCATACAAACATATTGCAATCAGTATCGTGGATAAG